CTGTTTTCCCTTCTCCACTAGTTCCTCTTCCTCATCAGAGTGTCATGATTCATGTGTGTGCTTAGGAGCCAAGGGCAGGTTCAAGTCCCTGCCCCTAACCAGTGATGCTTCTTTTTAATGGAGTTGTTTTTTCATCGTGTGATTCACCGGTTCACCGTTGGGGGGGTCGGGGCGGGGATAACAACAATTCTTCCAGGGCTGGGGTGTGGCGGCAGCATGTGGCGACCTGCATGGGATAGTGACCGCATCTAACACAGGTCCACACTTGGCTAAGTGTGCAACCAAGATGGGCCCACTTATTTAATCCTAACCATTACCACAGGAGTTGGGTGCAATCGAGATCAAGGAAGCCGGGACACACTTGCCCATAGCAACCCAGCTAGGCAGCCTGGCTGCAGGGTCAGGTTCTGAACCCCTGGGGTCTCACAGCCACTGCTCAAGTGTGTATATGGATAAAGGCACTGCTAAGAGTTGGAGGTAGAGCGATAGCTGAAATAGACAGATCCATGTCTTTTTACATCCCAGAGGGGGAAGGGAGGCATCAAAACATGCAGGTTGTTGCGTGATGAAACGTGCCATGGAGAAAAATAAATCAGGAAGGACGACAGAGAGCCCAGTGGGTGTGGCTGCAATTTGACAAGCTCAGGAAATTCTCCCTGAGAAATGACTTTTGAGCAAGGACTTGGAGCAAGGAAGGGAAGGTGAGCATCTGGGGGTTTGCGAGACCAGCAGAGGTACCAGAAAGCCCAGTAAGTGCGAAGGCCCTGAGTCAGGAGCTAGGCAGGTCCGAGGAGCACCACAGGCTGGAGGAGAGTGGGTGGAGGGAGGGGGGACCCGAGGTCAGAGGGGAGGTGGGGGAGCTCTGGGCACGGTGAGGACTCTGGCTTCTTCCCAGCGGCAGCTGGAAGCCAGCAGAGCTTGATTGTTTTTAAACATCTTTATTGCGCAGTGATCCACACGTGCGTGGGATCAGCTTCAGTCCGACCACGCAAAGGCCGTGTTTGCTTGTCCTGCAGGCTGGTCCCTGCCATCAGTCTAGGCTCTGTCATCCTTGTTTACCAGTGCGGCTTCCCAGGACACGTGGTTCACTGATTTCAAGTGAAAATCCACTGGAATGGATTTTACTGTTGTCACAGAACGGTGCTACTGCTTCAACTTTAAAATGTTTTCACCCCATCCCACGTCCCCCCAGGTAGCCTCCTGCCTCCCTGAGGATGAAAAAGCCTTGTAAGGTCCACGCTCTGCGGGAAGGGGGGTGGTAATGAAAACCGGGAGCCTGAGCCTTCACTCCCCACCTAGGATCTCCATTGATCCCTTCTCTGCCTAGACAGACATGCACCCACTTTCTGATTATAAACATTGCCTCGGGCCCTCCCTAGTGTTGCAACAGGTTAAAGTGCAGCACTGCAAGCTAGCGGCAGCCACTTCAGTGTAAGTTCAATCCCCCCGGCAGGGAGCTGACCCACATGGTGTAGCATACCTCTCCTGTCTCCCCGCTGCTCCCCTCAGCATTCTGCCTGTTCTGCTCCCCACTCTGTCTCTGGTGAATCCTCTCACCACCCTTGCACCTCTGGCCTGTATCCTAGTTCTGTATGCATAAATAAGTAAATATATATTTTTTATTTTTTAGAGTTTAATACAATTTTAATTGAAATGCGATAGCCACATATACACAAACAAAAGTAAAGCTATCATAAGTGCGCAGAATAGACTATCACAGAACAAGAATACATCCACAAAGGTGTTAATATTTTAAATCAAATATTTAAACATTTAATAATTCAGTATAGCAATAATAAAGCATTGTATGTCAATATAAGTAATGTTTTTAATGTAAAAATTACTGTATTGTCTAACAAAGTGAGGTGAGAATGGAGTTTCCTATTTCCCCCAATCTCTACCTCTATTAATAGCGTGGGTTTTTAGAACAGCCTCTGCATTCATTCAGTCTGTTGCTCACGTCTTGTTGAACAGTTAAAGGAAAGGCACTCTTAAATAAGTAAGTCTTTTAAAAAACAAGCGCCTCTTTGGGACACTCCCTCTATGTGGGGCCACACAACTTCGTGTCTGGCTCCTGTGGAACATCATGTCCCCGCCTCATCCGTGCTGGGCAGGTGCTGCACCTCGTCCCTCCTTACACCGACGGCTGTGCGGCTGGAGAGCCCTGCCCGTCAGCAGAGGTACTTGGGGCTCTTGCCACCTCTTGGCTCCAGGGAACATGCCGTGATGGCTGTTCAGGTTTAAGGTGCACACAGTTCTCATTTCTCTGGTATGCACCCGGGGTGGAACTGCTGATCTTAGGGGAACTGTGGTTTGGCCTTTTGAGGGGCTGCTGTCCAGGGCGCTGCACCTTCACACAGCACCACGAACAATGTTGAGGGGTCTGATCCCCCTCTCTCTGTCTTTACTCATAGCTTAGCTGGAAGCCGAGGGGGAAGGTCACCCGCATCGACGTCTGTGTTGATATTTACTATCGCCACTCTTGCTTTTTCTGCTGCGTCTCTGCCTTTCTTCATCCCCGCAAGGTCCTTTTCTACAACATGACGACGTCTTTTCTCCCCTTGTGTAGGTCACCCCCCACTCCCTGCATCGGAAGTGACTCCCCACCTCGAGGCCACAGCTAGTCACATGTGCTACGCATCCTTTCATCTCTGCCCTCCTTGCTGGTCAAGTGACCACAGTGCATGGCCCCTGGCCTCTCCTGCCATGGCCTTGGGGCTCTCTTGGGTAAGCACTATGCAGTTAGACCTTGAAGACTCAGTAATGAATAAAGATCACATTGGTTGAGTAGGTCCTCTCTGGGGGAGGATGGGCATGGCAGGGTGGGTTCAGGGCCAGGTCAGATCCCAGATTCCTAGCTGGTTAATTCCCAAGAACAACAACGTCAACAAAAATCCACAGCTGATTGATGGTGGAGAAGACCTTTAGGAATTCAGTGACATCTGTTTGTTAAGGAATCCACAAGTTACTTGACTAATTCATTAGTGAGTTTACTACTTCCAGTCTTAATTGAGTATGTCCTAGGTGGTAGATATTCTTGCAGGTGCTGGAGATACACTCATTAACAAAAACAGACCATCTTCTCTCTTGGGAGTAGGGGGAGATGAACATGTAGGCAGATTAATGAATAAGATGATTTTCAGACAAGATGAGGGTTGGTGGGTTGGACAGATTAAACAGTAAAGGAGTCAGCCCTGGATGGATCTGGTGGAAGAGAATGTTAGGCAGAGGGAAGAACAGATAAAAAGGTCCTGGGGCAGAAAAATGCTGGGGATGTCCAAGGGACAAAAAGCAAGCCTAGAAAGATAGAAGGAGAGTGGAGGAGAGATGGCGATAGAAGAATAGGTGAGAACCAGGTCACAAGGGCTCTGGATGGACAGAGGCAGAGAGGCCCAGGCCACTTGCTCGGGGACTCTGAGGTGGGAAGCCTGAGAGAAGCATTTCTGCAGGCCTGTTGTGGCTGGCCACCTTTGACTTAGGGCCTGCACCTGAGCCCTGGACAATGCTGGGCCTCCTCAGGGAAGACAGAGTCAGCAAGACTCTCTGGTTGGTACACTGCAGGTAAACGCTGACGCAGAAGGTGCCGACCCCGGAGGATGGGCCCAGAGGCTGCTTCTTGCAGGGATGAATAATACATTTTCGAAGCCCTCATTTTGGTCTGGAGCACTGGTCTTCCTTACCCAGATGTTGGGTAACCCCTTGGGAGATTGGTGAGCAATCTCATGGAGAGAATGAGATTGGCCTTGGCCAGGACTCCAGGATGGATGCATGTGGGGGCAGCCCTACTTGATGCTCCCACCTGCCCCCCTTCCTTGGATTGTTGAGGATCTGCCCTTACGCATAATGCCTGTGGACTTAACCCTTCTATGCCTATTTCCTTACCTCTTTTTTTTTAAGGATTTATTTATTTATGCATACAGAACTGGGGTACAGGGCAGAGGTGAGGGGTGGTGAGAGGATTCACCAGAGCAGAGGCAGAGCGGGGAGCAGAACAGGCAGATCGACAGAGTACACTGCTGAAGGGAGTGGCGGGCGAGACAGGAGGGGTCTGCTGTGCCATGTGGGTCACCTCCGGGCCTGGGGATCGAACTTGCACTGAAGTGGCCGCAGCCAACTTGCAACTTGCAGTGCTGCATCCCATCCCATTGCGCACCAGGAAGGGCCCTATTTCCTTATCTCTTAACAGAGACAGTGCACAAGCACTCAGTATGGGCACCTCTGGGCTGACTCTAAATGTTGATTATGAGCCAGGTAGTGAGAAAGGATGGGGGGGGCGGGGGAGCAGTGCGCACAGGGCAGGGGCCAGGCTGGGTTGGACAGGGCAGGGGGCCAGAGAGGCAGAGTCTCAGGCCACAGCAATCTAGTCTGGGGGTGGTCAGAATATAAAGAACAAACGTGTAACCAGCCAGGTGGCACCCAGTGATAAGAGTGCAGGGTGAGCAGGGAGGGCTGGCGTTGTTTTATTTTATGGGGGGAACGTGAGGGGGGGGCTTTCTGATAAGCTGGTGGAGCAGGGAGAAGGAAGGAGCCAGACAAGATATCTGGGAGAACAGAATACCATGTCGAGGGTGGACAAGGCAGGAGAGGCTTGTCGGGGAGACAGCCCATGTTTGGGGGTTGGGGGAGGGATGGTTTCACAGAAGTGGGATGGGGGCTCCGAGCTGTGGGTGAGTTGGGAAATTCCAACCTCACGTGAACAATGCCACGGTCAGGACTGGGGAAGTGGGGGGAGAAGGAGGGGCGAGGGCGAAGAAGGGGAGTGGGGGGAGGGGAGGCGTTGAGCGAGAAAGCCCGGAAGGGGACTCGGGTTGGGGGGAAGAAGGGGAAGGCAGGGGAGGGGAGCCGAGCCCAACTGATATCCTGGCAAGCTGGCCACCGGCTCTACACGGGAACGGAAGCCGGGAGGGGCCTAGATGTCCGATCTCCGCCCCGCGCCGGGCCCGCCCCTTGTCGTCCCCTTTCCTCTGGCGCCTCCCTTCGCCGTCCGCGGGCGCAGGTCTCGGTGGCTCTGTCGGGGGCGGTCCGGCCTTAGGGCGATGGCGCATAAAACCGCTGGCCACCTGCCGGGACGTTCCTCCGCCCGCTGCCGTCCAGGACCCATAGTGACCCGCGGCCCCGGAGCCGCCGCCGCGTCTGCCCCAGTCCCTGTCCCCGCTAGGCGCGGAGCCCCGCGAGCGCCGGGCTGGCACCAGGGCGCGCAGACATGAGCCGGCGCACAGGAGAGCGCTGGGCGACCGCTGTGCTGGGCCTGGTCGGCCTGCTGTTTGTCGCGCTGGGCGTCTTGATGGTCTACATGGTGCCCTCAATCATCAAGGAGCAGGTCCTCAAGGTGGGTAAGCGGCGCGGCCCCGGGCCGGAGGGCAGGGCGCACCGTGACTCCCAGCCCAGCCGGCATGTGCGCCCTGGCCCGCGCTCGCTCGCTCGAGCGCCTGGGGAGGGACCAGCTGCCCGCTCCCGGCACTCTGCCGGCCCAGGCTGAGGCTAGGGACCGAGGGAACACACCTCGGGACTTTGCAGGAAGCTCAGGCAAGGGCTAGGGTCTCCAGTGCTCATCGAAGGGATCCAGCAAGCAACGTGGCCACATTGTGGTGCTGCCCGGGAGCCCAGGAGCCCACACACGGTTTCCCGCCTCTTAACCACATTTTCATCACAGCCTGGGGCAGTGTCTGCTACAATAGGCATCACCTAGCTGTTTCCTGTAGCTGAGGAGAGGGGAATCCACAGTCGTGTGAGACTCGTGGGTGCCGGGCAGCTGACCAGAACCCTCCCTAGAAATCCCTTCAGAGGCTGAAAGCCCAGCGGCACCTTCCCCCTACAAGTCCTCCCCATGCAGATCTGAAATGTTAAGCGGCTTTTCTCCCCTAGATTCAGGCCAGGCAGGCACAAACCCCAGGCTGTGTAGCCCCAGAGCTCATAGCTTCCCCTGACCCTCCCAGCTTGGACTCATGCTGCTCTTTCAACCAGTAGACAAATCAAGGCCGTCAACTGGCCTTCAGACCATAGACTCTGCCCTCGGTGTGGTGTCTGGGCGGCCTGTTTGAATGAACCTGCAGTTATTGTGGGTCAGGGAGATTGTAGACTATGTCTCCCTGGGGTTGAACGCCTTTCAGAGCTTTGAAGCCAGAGCCAGTACCTGCGTGCCCAGAGGGGAAACCGAGGCTTGCCTGTTCAGACAGCGCCGAGATTCACTTGCGAGATTCAGTTGCGGGTCTTGTCGCTGGCTGGTTGACTCTTCTCTGCCCGTAGCCACCTTCTTTGGGTGAGCTTAAGAAGGGGGACGTGTCCGAGTTTCCTGTCTGCGCCCCAAACCCAGCACAGGATGCTTGGGGAAATGAATAAATGAGTGATAAATGAGTCAGCTTAGAAACTCGGCCCCTTCTTGGGACCCACCGCTGAAAAGCTTTTCCCAAGGTGTCTGGTGACAGTTGTCTGAGTCATTTTGGCCACACCGTGTCTCTCTCTCTCTCTCTTTCAAATCTTGTCCCATTAAGTCCTGCACGGAGATCAGGTCTGCTGTTGATGCTCATCACTGCTCTGCTGTGTGTCTACCCTTGGGGGTGGCTGGAAAGCTCTGTGGGAGCCCTCAGAGCTCACAACTGCTGTTGTGGCCCCTTGGTGCACAAGGGGTGCCTGTTGCTTATTCGAGAGCAGGCTGAGGGCTTCATCTTGGTGAAAACCCCCCTAAACTTGTCCATTGACTGGTTTCTGTATGTAGCGTGTGTACCCAGGAGAGATAATCACTCAGGTAGGGTAGCATGAGCTTGTGGCTGTGGGGTGGGGTGGGTGGGACTTACAACCCGTGAAGAATCTTGTCAGCTGTCCTTCTTGGGCTTAGTTTGGGGTTTTCTTTCTATAGCTGCGATCAGGTTAAGGATCTTGGTTCCACTTGGGCATGTGTGTGCGTGCACGACCTCGTGTCCTGTAACACCTCTGGTTTCCAAAGAGGAAAAAAGCACTATCGTCGTCCTGGTGCTGGGATTTCCGGGCTTAGAGTTGAGTGAGAGGCACCCAGCATCCTACATGAGTGTCCCAGAGATGATTGGTCTGGGGCCGAGTGGCGTGAAGCCCGGGGGGCAGGCCAGGCCAGGCCAGGCCTACGACTGCCTCTTCTTGGACCGCCCAGGCTGGGCCCCGGCCAAGTGCTGTCCCGGGAAGAAGCGGCCTGTGTTCAGGGGACTGGACGGGGGGGACCTGGGAGAGGGAGCGACTGTTTTCTTTGGCTGCTCAAGCCCATGTGCAACCTGAATAAGAAGCCTGTCTGGCGTTTCCACATTTTAAATGCTTTTTGGTTAAAGAAAGAAGTCTGGTGTGAAAGACATGCATTCTTGCTCAGGAGGAAAAAATCTTCAAATGGAAGGAAAAAGCAGCCCGTGCACTGGCCTCCCTCAGAGGGTCCCGCCTTCATCGGTGTGCACCGTCTAGATCTCTGTCCATGTTGCTGGCTCATATTTATACCCACGAATGGATGGTTTTTATTGACATTGAACTGTGCTGGGCACCAACAGCCTACTGCAGGCTTTTTCAGTTCTGTGGCGTGGCTGGAAAGCCTTCCCTGTCAGGGCCGGTCCCTGTCACCTTCTCCCCACCCTGCATGCGTTCCCTCGACTGGCAACACAATCAATTAGCTGCCTGTTTCTGTACTGATTTGCTTTGCATGGCATGTCTCCTCTGACACATCTGTACCGACACCTCCATGGGGCGTTTCTAAAAGGGGTGCCTCTTGGCTGTGATGGGTGTGGGTGTCAGGCAGGGTGCCTGAGAAGCCCTGCTGTCTGTCCTTCTACCAGCAGAACATGAGAGCACCCCCCACACCCCTGCAGTCCCCAGAGAGGACCTGCCCCTTACTGTGGTTTTTTTTTTGGGCTAATCAGATGGTCTCTTTTTATTTTAAAGGTTTATTTATGTATAAAAGAATTGGGTACAGGCTAGTGGTGCTGGGTGAGGGGATTCATCAGAGACAGAGTAGGGGGCAGAACAGGCAGCTCTACTGAAACACACTACTGAAGGGAGCAGCAGGTGAGACAGGAGAGGTCTGCTGCACCATGTGGGTCAGCTCCTGGCCTTGGATGAACCGTGCTGCAGTGGCTGCAGATAGCTTCAGGGTGTTGTGCTTTAACCCCTTCTGCCACCAAAGAGTTTCCTCAGATGGTTTTGATTTATATGTCTCAGGTTGCTGATGTGAGGGGTTTTGAAACCCATGTAGGTTTCCAGGACCTGGGTTGGGGTCCTTGGGTCTGATACCTCACCTTGGAGCGGGGCTTCTGAGTAGAGGTGGGGCCAGACCTCATTTGCCTAGATGAGGACTTGTGTGTAAGTGCTTTGGCCGGACTGAAGCTCTCCTTTGATCTGACAACATCTTGTGAGAAAGGCTGAGACCGCGGCGTTTTCTCTCCCTGCAAATCAGGAAACTGAGGCAGAGGGAAGGTGAGCCAGGTTCACCCACCTGTGGCTGTGGGGGCCAGGTTCACCCACCTGTGGCTGTGGGGCTACACCTAGGAGCCAGATCTGAGTTTCCACTCAAGTAGGGGCACAGGAAATGAAGCAGAAACTCCACCCAGCGGTTTTTTAGACAAAAGCAAGAAGCAACCTGATCTTATGTTTTAAGCACGGATGGGTCACAAAAACACATGGCTGACTGTAAAAACAAACAAACTTATGGTTAAAAAAGAAGCAAACAGGGGCCCTCCCTGGTGGCACAGTGAACTAAAGCACAGCACTAAGAAGCTAAAGCCACTTTAGCATGCTAGAGTTTGATCCCTGCCCAAGAGGTGACCACATGGCGCGGCAGACCCGCCTGACTCTCCTGACCCGCCCCGCTGCTCCCCTCAGCAGGGAGTCAGTCCATCAGTCGGCCTGTTTTGCTCCCCACTCTGTCTCTGGTGAATCCTCTCACCACTCCTGCACCTCTGGCCTGTCAGTTCTGTATGCATAAATAAATAAATCTTTTAAAAAAATCAACAAACAAATAAAAAAACTCCACAAAACAATACCCTGTATTTCAGTGGGTTACTGATTGAAAGCACAGAGCATGGTGGGCCAGAGGGCACCCCGAAAAGCTGTACAAAGCAGTGCTGGCTGGAGCTGGTGGGGCTGCTGGTGTGCATGGCATGGGGGACTTCCTCTCCTCCTGCCTTCTGGGATAAAACCAAAGGAGTATTCCCTTGTTCTGGGATGATTGAAAATCAGTAGGTGAGTCTAGCTTTCCTTTCTTCTCCTTGGCACTGGGGGTGGGGGTGGTGTGTGTATGGCTGGCAGGATGGGGGAGTGGGGGGGAGTTTGGGGCAACTTCTGAGGGAGGTTCATCATCAGGAATAGTCAGGGAAATAGAAAGTTGTTTGGTAGCTCCCCCAAGTGTGGAGGTGAAGGCTTGGGTCACCCCCTGACGCACATTTATTTTCTGATTCCCCCTTATCAGGCCCTCAGCAAATCCTATCGGTTTTGCTTGCAAAACAAAAATCTTCTCAAGGTCTCCAGTGCCAGCCTCAGCATGCACCGCTGGCATGGGGTGTGGGGGTCTCGCTTCTGTGGGCACACAGCAGAGGGGTCCTGCTCATGCATCTTGGCTCAGCTAGGAGGGAAGGCCAAGGTCCCTTGGGGGGAGCGGAGGGGGGCGGGAAGCGGTCCCCTTCCTGCCTTTGCCTCCCTGCTCCTGGCCCAGCTCTTCCTGAGGCTTGCTTGACCCACCCAGCTGCGGCTTGCTTTTCCCACAGCCTAGCCCTCAAGCCACTTTGTAGCTTGACCCTCCCCTCCCTCAGTCCCCCCCCCCATTATGTGACATGTTTACTTGTGGGTTTTCTCCTCAGGGCATGGACCTCTGCTGGGGCTGGGTTGTACAGTCCCTGTAATGTCCCCCCACCGGGGCAATGCTTGGGTTCAGGCTGGATGGGGATGAGCCTGAGGAAAGCACTTTGTAGTTTGCTTCTCCAGGGCTCTCTCCTCAGTTCTGCCCCTCCTCAGCCCCGGGGAGAGCCACCCCGAGCTTTGGGAACCTTGGGGAGCCTGGCCTGCCCCTGAACTGCTGCTTCTTTGTCAGCCTCCCTCTGTGTCCTCCCCACAAAGAGGCTGGGGTTGAGGGGGCAGCCCGAGTGCCGGCGTGCACCTGTCCCCCTCCAGGCCCCTGGAAAGAGCTGGTCTGGCAGACCCCTGTAGCCCCTGTCCGCACAGGCCACAGCTGCAATCGGAGGCAGGATTTGGCCGGGCCCACCCCCTTTCCCCGCATTCTGAGGGGCTGTGCTGCTTGGAGGCCTGGCAGCCCCTTTCCGTGTTGGCGCACTGGGCCACCTTCCTTCGCGGCCACTAGGCCCCCCAAGCTGCGGGCTCAGGATCCGT